AACTCGTCTTCAGAGAAAATAGAATTGCTTCCGTCATCGCGTTCCATGAGCAGAAATGTCCGCCCCGGAGCTTAATTGGAAGAGAAATCAAAATCATTCGGTTGATTGAGCATCAGTGAATTTCACTGTACTGTACTGTACTGTAACTTTCTATACACAGTGGAAACACAATAACTCAAACCTCCCCAAGTAGGTTATACCTCACAAAAGTCGATTTTTTTTAGTCCCTGTCTGAAAATCCCAAGAAACAATGCCTTGAAAACCTCCCTATCCCAAAAGCTTTCATTCCCCTACTCAGAATCTCAGATATCCATAAGTCAAATTTGCTGGTGGTCTTTTGGCAATTTTCTTCTTCTCTTGAAACAGGTACAATCAAGAAAAGCAAAGCAAATTTAATTTGATGTGTTTTGAAAGAAAATGAAAGAGGGGAAAATGTATCTAAATTACAAATTTCCAAGTATATGCTCCAACATAAAACTCAGTGCATTTGAGAATAATTTGAATTGTTTGGTTAGGATAGGAATGGGCACAAAAATATCAGTTGTTCAACTCATGGCACAAATGATGTACATATCCTAAGAAATTCATGATGATGAAGTATGTGTCTGAGTTAAAAACAGAAAATTCTCATTATATTTTCAACTTTAACTTGTATTGCATGTCAAAATTGCTTCCACTTATTCCATTTATTAAAAAAGCCACCAAATTGTAACCCATGCTGTGTGGATTACTTGCAATATTCTAAAAAATGTAGTGCCCATCCCATGAGCACTTGAAAAAAATTGCATTTCTGAATGAATGCTCAAGTGAGGAAAAAGTTCAATACAATAATTTATTCCAATCCTGCCAAAAAGTTTAATTAAGATTTAGAAACTGTCTTAAATTTTTACAGTGTCATCATTGCAAAAAAAAAAACTTGCAGTGTTCACATTGGAATGTAGTGAGAGGCTCCACAAAAAAGTAAAGAGAAATAACATTCAGCAACTTGGAAATATCTTGATTACCTCCAAAATGTTTATATAGACTATAGAGCAATGGACAATCTAGAAAATACATATTGAAACTGTCAATTCTCTTGATGTATTAAAATCTGGCAAGAATTCAAGATGAAGACATATTTTCCCAATACAAGATACATGGGATATGTAAAGAATATCAATCTCAGTTTGCCACACTCCTGCTACTAGAATTCCTCATAGAAAATATGGCTTGGACAAGATACCCTTGGCCTGGTGCACAGTAGGATAATTGCAGGGGGATATCTTCCTGTTTCCCAGGATGCAAGGTGAAAAAGGTTTTTTTCAGGGGTGTGTTCAAAAAGAATCCTTGCAAAAAAGGGACATTTGGATTTATGGCACCCAGAACAATGACAAAGGGGGAGGGGATAAGGAGGCACAGCAGGGAATGAATTAAATAAAATTAATTTCCCAAATCCCACTTGTTTATAAATCACTGATTTTTCAAAAATAAAATATTGTAATTTTCAAACACCATAAAAATCTCTTCAGAAGATTTTTGAAGCCACCACAGGCTTTTGAAGTGGGGACAGGACTCACAGGAGAGACACTTTTATGCCACCACCAGGGCATGACTGGAATTGAAATCTTTGATTGGATTTTTCCTTCCTATGATGTCTGTGACTCTGCATTTTCTGTTTTTGATAATAGGCCTGGATATATTTTAAATACTGGAAGGATTGTGTTCTCTCAACTAAGAACATGTCCATGATTTGGTTTCCTGTTAAAGGGTTTCTATGTGCATGCACATAGAAACCAATTTAATTCAAGCACACTGCAGAATGTGCGCTTGAATTGATTTGGTGATGCGTACTTTTTAAAATCTTTAATACTTCTCTCTTTTCTGCTTTTGCAAACTTTTCATACTCTCTCAAAAGTTTGAATTTCCAAGCTTGCAGAATTTTTAATTTGAAATTCACCAGCTTGGGGAATTTCATTTTTGAATTCTCGGGGGGCCTATTGGCCTGGTGGGCCTAATGCTACAGCATCAATAGCACCCACCTTAATCCGCCCTGAGGTGCCACACACCAGCTGATATAGGTTGAGGAAATTAAATGTTGATTCAACCATGAGGTTTGGCTTGGAAAATACTGTACTGTACTAGCTGTATGCAAAATTCCAGAAGAAAGCAAGCGCGGTAAAACCATCAGGGATAACTTGAACCTCTACAAGTCAAATATACCTCCCTATATATGTTGAATCTTTTTCAAGTTCCTGTCTGAATCCCTGCTGTTGGGGAGAATGGGGACTCACCATGCAAGTGTGATGCACGCCCACCTCATAATTCAAGGCAGGAAATGATTGGGTGGAAAAACCAAGGATAAAGCCTGTAAACTAGAGAGCCCCAGAAAAACTGCAAAACTTATTGGAGAACTTTTGTTCCCTGAGATTCTTTCCCCAGCACTATTTTCATCAATTTCACTTTTCTTGGCCAATCCTAGGCCTCTAAAAATTTCCTGATCCAGAGTAAAGTGCCCTCAGGATTAAGGTCAGTCATGAACTCATGATAATTGATAAAACCCCTTTTTATCCCAAATTCATAATCAGTCTAAGCCTAGCTGTTGCGCAATGAACTGTCTACAAAGTAAGCTTGCTGAGAGGTTTTCTGTCATGGTCATTTTTGTGTCTTGAACTTATTGCTCTTGAAATCTAGAACAATTGTCAGGACAATCTGAAATACTCAAATAAATTTAATAAGGGATTCTACAAACAATTCCTGACGCTTATCCCAGACTGAATCCACTTTTAATTTTCCATGAATTCCCTTCTCGATCCACAGCCAAAAGATTCATTCTTGCATTGTTTTGGACTCTGTCAGCAACATCCCCTCAGGAACAATTAATAATGCATTAAACCTCTCCCCAACTCAAAGGCTTTACTGGTGAAACTTCCATAATTCAAATTTAGCAGTCCTTTTTGGCTATTAATTTATTGACACAAGGGAAAAACAGTAATACTGTAGATGGTTATTTTGATGTGATTTGAAAGAAATTGTGAAAGACTTATTGGGCAAACAAACCCTTAATTGCCTCAAATTTCAGCATCCTGAAAATGTATTGAAGAAGCAAATTAAGGTCCTGAATATCACCAATTACAAATTCCTGCAAATCATCTATCTCAACCTCAACAAAAATGCTTGTTACCTTAACTCAAACCTCCCTATCTTGAATTTTGTGCTGGTCATCCCTTGAAGTATACAGTTGTACTGTTTTGAAAAACCTATAAATATGGAAATTTGGAAGATGACTGATCTGATAAATGTATACCAGCATGTGTTTGGCACAAGTGATCGTCATCAAATGGCAAAAACCCGAATTCCATGCCTAGCCAAATTGGCAGTGCTGATGGAAAGAACTTCAAAAACGCAATCGGTGAATAAAAACCAAACTGATCACTCCCTTCAACCGAGGCTCTTGTTCATACACGTTCACACAATCGCGGAAGATAATTTGAGACACAGGAAGAAATTTCAATTTCGTCTCGGACGACCCGAACGCAACAACTCGACGCCGAAAATCATTTCGGCAATCATGAAAATTATGACGATTAATATTGTGATGTCCAGGAGTTGAGCCATGAGCAATACCGCATTTTTCGAATAATGGACATAATGTGCCAACCAGTATAACAACGCATCGATCATCACCAATTGCACCTGTAATATTATTAAAAAAAAACCATTTGTAAAATCGTATACAAAAAGGAATTTATACGAGTCCCACACGCATCCTTTTTCGCAAAATCGAGAATAAAAACGGGGTGCACATCATAGGTGGGCGTGAAGTTTTGAAACGTTTAGCTGCGCACCGTATTTGATACTGATGGAAAATTTCGGTACAATTTCAATTGAAAAACTCATCGTAAAGGAAATGATTAAAAATTAACCAAATTCGAGATCAATTCACGTCGAAATTCAAATTTGAGTGGCCTAATTTCAGAAATATTGCAGTTTTCGGGTCACTAACAAATAGCATGCGCGTTTACTCAGGGATACAATTTTATTCAACAAAATTTCAAATTAAAAACCGTGGTGCGCGAGCGACTCGAGTAGATACAATACGTTATTCAATAACCACGAATTAATCCTGAGACTTTTTGCCAATATTTCGACACCTCATCTGAAAGATTTTTTTCTTCGTATATGCTTTTCGCAAAAAATCCTCCAACTTACCAAGAGTATGAAGTTCATGGTTTCCACTGATCCAACGTAGTCTTCGGTGGCTGATCGAGCCCACCGGTGGCTCATGGCAATAGATCAACCCATTCTTGGAAATTTGCGCATTTAAACTTTAATTAGCTGATAGAATAATGCTGAAGGTGGTCGTTCAGATGTACCATAAATCCATAATTAATTTACTTTATCTCATGCTGACACGAGGGTAAGCACGTTATTTAATCCAATTATACCAAAGCTATTGATCTCCTACTTTGCGTAATAGCATAAGAGAGCTTCTAGTCTGCGTTTAAGAAGAACATTTACCCCCGCAGCTAATTAAAAAGTTACCAATACGCTTATAACCGAAGGCTAAGTAAAAGTCATTTTTTTTTGAAGAAAACGTAGAGTTTTCTAGAGAAAATATTGAAGCTACCTTCGATTTTCACTAACCTTTTCAGTTCAAGAACTAGCGAAATTAAAGCCTGATTCATGTGGGAGATAATTAAGATGGTAACTTGCGCAGAAATTCAAACGGGTTTCTTGAGTATCATGACATAGTACAGCGATCTTTTTTGCTCGGCGCCGTCTTCTGATCAGGTTCAGGAAGGAATGCAGATACAGATGCGATCACTGACTGAAGACGATAATCGCAGACCTGTAAAGGAATAGAACAGGAATATTGCATACGGTATTCAGTCTATTGAATGAGGACAGAAACGAGACGACAAATACTGTACACTGAACTGCTAAAAAAAAATATCAAATTGCAAAAATATTGTTGGTACCCGATCAGCCAATTCAAACACAGAATTTGCTGCTACAGTAATTATTTTAACCCCTGGACAGTGAAACGTGGATTTTCATCCCATGGTAGTGACATGAATTTTTTCCGGACAAATTTTTGTTTCACCCAAAAGCAGAATTGGCAAATTAGAAGTATGGAGAAATCCAGGAAAGCTTCAGCTACGGTTTTGTTTTTTTGAATCCTTAAATACTAATTCAGTGACAAGAAAGCAGAAGAATGCCACGCTGCACTGAATATTTGTTCTGCACTAATACAGAAAAAAATAATTGGGATTTTTATGGACTTGGGCTCTGCAGGTCAGACAAGGTTTTGCTGGGTTTTTCGACACAGAATTCTACTATCATATCCCAGTAGAAGGGTTGAAGCAGACATACTGGCTAAGTTCTGGCTCATGCCCTACTCCAGTGTTTCCAACTTCTTTCAGCCCACAGACTGGCCAATTTCTGTAAGTTTTAGGTGGACCAGTGAAGTTTCATAAAAATTTTGCAAACCAACAGAAGCATCAAGAAATATCCAAACAACATTTGCATTACATATATAATTTCAAGATCCAATGAAGCAGCTATATAGTGGAATTTCTTGAAAAATTAGAAAGCTTGGCTTCAAGAAAGCTTTCTCAGAATAAAAACTTTGTTTAAGCAGTTGAAAATTGTTGAAGTGCTATTAGGAAAAATTCAAACTTTTAATTTTTTTATTATATACAGTGATTTCAAATGAAACCATCTTCCCAAAATTTCAGATAAACATAAAAGACTTCATTAATACTTTTGATAAATTTATCAGGCTGATGAAAAAAAGGGTACCTGACCGTTTTTTGAAGTCACCTGGTGTTCAACGTCTGGCCACGGGATCTAGTATAAGACCTGATCAGTCCCGTAGTAACCCATAAGTGGCGTTGGTATCGTACACGTTCTCCTTGCGAAAGTACAAAACTCTTTCCTAATATCCATCCCAGTCACTATCGCAATATCCAGCCTAACATGAATCAAAAGGTCAGATTCAACATCACAACTAAGCCTGCAGACACCAACCCCATCAGCAAGAAATGAAACCTGGCATTTCGTTATTCATGTATAGTTTTTGATAAACCATTACGCATGCGGAAAAGGAGCAGAAAATACTCCCTGCTAACCAGCTCTCTGAAAGTCTCCTTGTCGATCCTATCTTGAAGACCTTTATCCGTTTTTATATTCTCCCAATCTTCGCTTTTCTCAGCTTTCTTCATTACTCCATCCATGTAAGCGAGTGACACGAAATCTTGTCCCCTCGCGTTGATTTTTTTAAAGCATCCTTAAGTAAAAGTCGAGTTGTAACTCGTTTAGTTTCGCAACTTGTGAATGGTTTAGGGTAAAGCATAGTTGTCCTAGTCAGTATTACGGTTGTTTTAAGTCTTTGACTTCTGAAAACAACAACGAAAACTGACGCAACTCTTCACAATCACACACAAAAAAATATATATAAAGAATAGCAAGCGCTAAAATCCGACCTTCCCACGATTCAGAGAGAATAAAAAACACGCTCGAAATCGAACAAGAAAAAATAACTGATACACAATGTCGAAAACAGACATTTCGCTGAAACTGGAAAATTTTGAGCCAAGCACGTCATGGATATATGGTCCAAAATAAGATGAGATAAGCTTGCTCACGCAAAGGCACGCCGTTCAACAGAGAAAATCTGACGCGCATCACGTTCGATCAAACATGCATCAACGATGATCAGTCAAATAACTGCACGACTCCACCCAGCAAAAATGTTAGGAGTTGGAAGCTGGGGTGCTGGCACTAGGTAGTTATACAAGTAGTCATTTTCTAGATTTCCACAACTCCCTGGAAAACCTCCGACGCCCTGAGCATAGGAGTTGTTATCAAGGTAAATGTGAAGTAGGTACCAACGTGTTGAACGTCAACTCAGTAAATCATGGAGATGGTCAAATGTACATTTTTACTAGTTGTTCAGTTAGTTGTTACCAACTGGGGTCATTGGGAGTCTTTTAGGAGTTGGTTGCGACTGGCTGATAGCTAGACACTTGGGAGTTGCTGTTGTTGGGTGGGATCAAATGTGGCACGGGTGTCNAATTAATTTACTTTATCTCATGCTGACACGAGGGTAAGCACGTTATTTAATCCAATTATACCAAAGCTATTGATCAGGATGAAACGCATTATCGTATTCTCTCGAAGATCAGACGCAAATTCTTCTTGTAAATGGGGGCGTCGATTAATTTTTCAATGGTTATGCGAATATTGGCTTCCAATTCATTTTCAGTAAAAAAAAAAAGAAGAAAACGTAGAGTTTTCTAGAGAAAATATTGAAGCTACCTTCGATTTTCACTAACCTTTTCAGTTCAAGAACTAGCGAAATTAAAGCCTGATTCATGTTTGAGATAATTAAGATGGTAACTTCCGCAGAAATTCAAACGGGTTTCTTGAGTATCATGACGTAGTACAGCGATCTTTTTTGCTCGGCGCCGTCTTCTGATCAGGTTAAGGAAGGAATGCAGATACAGATGCGAACACTGGGGCAAGACGAACATAGCGGACCTGTAAAGGAATAGAACAGGAATATTGCATACGGTATTCAGTCTATTGAAAGAGGACGGAAACGAGACGACAAATACTTTACACTGAATGATCCCTCAACTGCTAAAAATGCAATATCAAATAGCAAAAATATTTTTGGTACCCGATCAGCCAGTTCAAACACAGAATTTGCTGCTACAGTAATTATTTTAACCCCTGGACAGTGAAACGTGGATTTTCATCCCATGGTAGTGACATGAATTTTTTCCGGGCAAATTTTTGTTTCACCCAAAAGCAGAATTGGCAAATTAGAAGTATGGAGAAATCCAGGAAAGCTTCAGCTACGGTATTGTTTTTTTGAATCCTTAAATACTAATTCAGTGACAAGAAAGCAGAAGAATGCCACGCTGCACTGAATATTTGTTCTGCACTAATACCGATAAAAATAATTGGGATTTTTATGGACTTGGGCTCTGCAGGTCAGACTAGGTTTTGCTGGGTTTTTCGACACAGAATTCTACTATCATATCCCAGTAGAAGGGTTGAAGCAGACATACTGGCTCAGTTCTGGCTCATGCCCTACTCCAGTGTTTCCAACTTCTTTCAGCCCACGGACTGGCCAATTTCTGTAAATTTTAGGTGGACCAGTGAAGTTTCATACAAATTTTGCAAACCAACAGAAGCATCAAGAAGTATCCAAACAACATTTGCATTACATATATAATTTCAAGATCCAATGAAGCAGCTATATAGTGGAATTTCTTGAAAAATTAGAAAGCTGGGCTTCAAGAAAGCTTTCTCAGAATAAAAACTTTGTTTAAGCAGGTGAAAATTTGTTGAAGTGCTATTAGGAGAAATTCAAACTTTTAATTTTTTTATTATATACAGTGATTTCAAATGAAACCATCTTCCCAAAATTTCAGATAAAGATAAAAGACTTCATTAATACTTTTGATAAATTTATCAGGCTGATGAAAATTTCCCATGGACTGGCAAAAAACTTCAGTGGACCACAAGTTGCAGACCGGTGCCCTAGATCATATTCTGGACTAGTCAGGGCATCATTGGGTATTCACCGCAACCATAGCATGTGCAAGAGGAACGCGAAGTACAAAACTCTTTCCTAATATCCATCCCAGTCACTATCGCAATATCCAGCCTAACATGAATCAACAGGTCAGATTCAACATAACAACTGAGCATACAGACACCAACTTCATTCGCAAGAAATAAAACTTGTCATTTCGTTTTTCATGTATAGTTTTTGAGAAACCATTGTTCGCATGGATAAAGGAAAATGAACAGAAAATACTCCCTGCTAACCAGATTTTCAAAAGTCTCCCAGTTGATCCTTTCTTCAAGACCTTCATCGCTTTTCATCTTCTCCCATTCGTCGTTCGAGATAATTGACCTAGCATTCTCCATTACTTCATCCATGTAATCGAGTGACACGAAATCTTGGTCCCTCCGCAACTAAAAAAAAAATTTCGTAGGAATCCATTTTCAGCTCAAAGTTGAGCAAATCAAAGCATTGAACACTTACCAAATTCCATGCCGTAGTAGCAGTAGCCATAATGCCAACAAAATTAAAAAACTCTTCTGAAATACAAAAAACGAGAACTGACTCAACTCTTCACAATCACACACAAAATATATATATAAAGAATAGCAAGCGCTAAAATCCGACCTTCCAACGATTCAGAGAGAATAAAAAACACGCTCGAAATCGAACAAGAAAAAATAACTGATACACAATGTCGAAAACAGACATTTCGCTGAAACTGGGAAATTTTGAGCCAAGCACGTCATGGATGTATGGTCCAAAATAAGATAAGGTAAGCTTGCTCACGCAAAGGCACGCCGTTCAACAGAGAAAATCTGACGCGCATCACGTTCGATCAAACATGCATCAACGATGATCAGTCAAATAACTGCACGACTCCACATGCGAACTTGCGCTAAAAATCTTGAAAATACTACAAAAATCGATTACTGTAATAGGATGGGACTAAAAATCCACACTCCTAATATAAAAAAGGCGCTTTCGTGCAAGAGGTCCAAAGCAGACGTTACAAATAACTCAAAGGGCTTCTGTGCGGCAGGCCGATGTGATTCAGAAAACGTTGAATAAATCCTTGGGAAGAATTCATCGACAAAGACTCAATCTCAGTTTAATTTCACTCATGTTCTCAAAAAAGCAAAATAGCTCAATAAACATATGAGTAAAAATATCTCTGAAACTGTACCAGAGCAAGTTCATAAAGGGGTGTCGCAGAGTTTTTGACGAATCCTCGTGATCCTGCGAAGTAAAAGCCTCTTCTGTAACTCAGCCTAGTTCAGACGCCGAGTTATGCTCTGCTGACAGCGGTCAAGAACACCTTCTTGTTAGCATAAAAATATATCTTCCGATTGTCCTCAAAAAAAAAAAACTGGTAAATGGTCCACGGTAATTCAAACTATCCGACAACAACCATCGCAATTATTCTCAAGCGAACTCGAGACGACCCGAATGCCTTTTCGTTCCATATGGATTTTGTCGAAAGCAGAAACACTTCTTTTTCCAAACAGTTTCAAATTAAAATCTACACAGAATTCCTGCGCACGCGAAGATTGAACAAAACTCGAATAACTTAGATTCGCTTTCAAAAAAAAATGCGTGTAAACTAGATCCCGTTCCTTGCAACAATTTCAATCTCATTCCAAATCCAGAGATCCATCAGCCGTCTGCCGCGGGCATCAAGACCAGTCGGTTCGGAATATTCGAAAAACCCGACGATGAATTCATTACACAAAATCATCGTAACTATAAAAACGAAACAAAAAAACCGTAGCTGTAAAATGGCCAGGTGCAATGAGAGGGACACGGATTTAAACAGTGCTGACATCGCCAGATGAACTTGGTCCGTATGATGAACGTTACAATCGGGTAACACCGTGCATTGTTGGTCCAATCGCAGAGTCAATTTCCCCTCAGTACGTTTGCGCCGGAAAGTAGGACGGAAACGCGACGTTCCACGCCATCATTGCCAAAATGATCGCAGCAAGTAGCACAAGCGAGACCCACCACACATACAGCTCCCATTTCTGTTTGCGCAAATTTCGCAACACCACGATGCCCAGAAGCAGTCCTGCAAGTGCACCTCCTAAATGTGCAGCATACCCGACCTGAGAAATATAGAACAGAGAAATTAGAATACCATCACATGAATGAAAGATCGACTCTTCGATTTGCTCTTTCATTTGCATTCACCGCATCTGCATTGGGAAACTAATAATCCATCAGTGAAGTGAGTAAAATAAAGTACAACTACGATTACTTCGATTCAAAGAATTGCTTGCTTATTCGAAAACAAGAACTCACATCGCCTGCCCACAAAAAAATAATGCAGATAGCACACTTATACACTTCCTACAGATTTTTTCAAAAAAAAAAAAAAAGAAACCACCGCTATTGTCAGAAGTTTTCAGGTACCGTAGTTGTAGTGTGAATCTTGACCAAGAAAATACCAAACATAGCCAAACAAGAGATGCCAAATCCAATGTCTCCAAATGCAATAGAACCCATTTCAACACAAAACAATTTGATCAACACCTAGACAGTAGGATGGAAAATCGTAGAAAACAAGAAGCTAGGCATTTGAGTAGAAGAAAAACAATCAACACGATGAACGATGCAAAACTTCACAATAATAATCGCTCTGCTCTTCTCATCCACAGTTGAACACGGCCGAGGATTCCTCTGACACAATCCAAAAAATGGATAATCAATTAAAAACGGTCATACGACTCAAAATTTTATTCAAAAGCCCGAAAAATTCGTATCGACAACAGAGATCCACTTAAATTTATCAATTCAACTATTCCAATCCTTCAAAGTAAAATCTGTTACATTTTCAAAGGGAAAGTACTGTACTGCAACTCGATTACTGTACCTGGTTTACAGCGTTTTCTGAACGTGACGAAATAGTAAGACTTCAGCTGCTTGCAGTCTACACACACACCTTCAGATATCAGGATAGACTCTTCAGGTTCAGTAAGTTCACACACACCACTCAAAATAGCAAACACAGTTCGCACTTAAATTCCCGTAGCAGGTTATACTTTTCACACAATAGTAATGATCGGATCCAAACAGAGGCACAAATACTAATGAGGCTGAGTGAGGCCTCTATAGTCAACGGACTAGTAGCGGCTGACGCAGACGGTGGTGTAGTTTCTCGCCGGACAAGGAAGCCACGTCAGCGGAATTCCGCGCCACTGCACCCCCGACCCCCTCACTCCCTATTCTCATCACTCTCTCCTTTATCGTGTGATCACTGTCTGGACTCCCAGACCCAAATGTCACGTGACTCGTCACAGTGTCCTTTTGAGGATACACGATCCAGATTACCAAAGAGTAATGTTTCTTTTGAAGTACAAAACAGGTATTTGAATATATTTCAATTAAAATTCAAAACACTGGTTCAGTTCAATGATTCAGTTAAGCAATAGCTCATTACAGAAAAATTGTGATCTGCACTGTACAGCCCTTTATTATTTTCTGTACCTCATCAAACTTTTGAACATCAAACTTTTGATGGCCAATAAGCAAGCATTTACAATGGATGCAGGTCTTGGTGATGATGTAGCAATTCATGGATTGGATGACACTTGGCTCTTTGGATCTGGCAATGGTTTAACTTACAGGTTCGCATGATTAGTCTCAGAAGTCAAGCACATCCAAGTTTTCACTATTTGTGTTTTTAGTGATTTCTTAATCTTGCCCAGTTTTATCAACTGCACACCTGATTTCTGCTTGGAAACTCAGCTGATGCAGAAAATCAAGCTAAAAGTGCTTGTTTATTTCCCAATGGATACAGTCACTGAAGGGGATATGGCTATTGCAATGGCTGCACTTATGGCAAATATAGCAAGTTATGGAATTATTTAGAATTTATCTTGCTAGCTGTGTGGAGGAATTGGCATTATTCATAACAAGTATTCAGTGGATGATGGATGTAGGAGAAAATACCTAGGAGAAAATATCCCGCAGCAGTAAATCCTGTGTGGCCCAAAATTTAGAATGCCCAAAAATCTTGCAGGGTCCAAAAATCCAGAAACATGAATTTGTATGTCCAAAATACCTCCTTTTGATAACAAAGTTGGGCAATGGTATGTAAATAATTTCTGACTTACAAACAAGTCTAAATGCAGTTTGATAGTGATATCTTATTTTCTATTTTAATATTCAATATACAGTGCATGATGAGATGGGAATATTGGAAAAATTATAAAAATTCTACAAGTTTTCAACTGTACAAGATTTTCACCCAAATTGATGCAAGTTTATCACTTCAGAAGGCAAAATTAAGCTCTGAAAATCATTGGGAAACTACACAGTTTATATACAAAAAAAA